ATTCCAAATTTCCAAATTTTGGGGGCCTAACAATTCCAAAATTTTGGAGTTTCGGATTTGTCAGCCCTAAAGATTCTGGAATTTTAGAGTTTCAAACCCCACCCCCTCCATGAGAAGCACGATCTGCACGTGTCATGGGCGGGGTGGGGTGAGCATATATATATATATGTATACTTATATATAGAGACATATACATATATATATATAGAGTTTGGAGCCTCCTTTGCCTCAAGTCCTAAACATCCCAAAACAGGCAGAGATCTCAACCCGAGCCCATCGCCAGCCCGAGGGAGCCTGTGCTTTGCGACTGGGCGCGCGGAAGAGCAGCCGCTGACCTTCCAACGCTCTGCAAGAGTTTGTGCCTAAACAGGGTGTAGGGACGTGGATTCAAGGTTTCGAAAATGGCTCCCTAAACCCAAGGATTTTGGGGGTATGGTTTAGGGGCTTGGACTCTCGCCACTGCGGGTTTGGGGCTTTGGGGTGGTTTGGGGTTACCAGCGCTTACCATAGTCAGAATGATGAACAGGATGGTACGATAGACATTTTAAGTATCGTAGTGGTGACAGCGGTGATAACACTATAGACAATGACGACGGCACAGACAAAGCACCAAAGCCCGGTTGGACTTGTCCCTGGCATGCTCATGGCATTAATGTTCAGCAGTTGTAAGAACCGTAGTAGCTGCAGGACAAAGGTTACGTAATGACAAGCAAACCTTTAGTAGTAGCGGCTGCAACGAATAGTCAAAAGAAACTATGCTCCTGCCAGAGACCGTCCAGAGAACACCTGAGCTGGAGCCTAGCAAATTCGCGAAAGTACAGAGGCTGACGCAAATCCGTCGCGAGGTGCGCTAAAGCCGTTCCGTCACAAGGAAGGGTTTAGTCTTTCGGAATCTTTCTAACACTGTATATACACCGACTACGCGACCGTTCCTAATTTACGCTTGCTATTCAGTCGCGCTCGCAAGCTGCCAACGATTCTTCAACATGCGGCAGGTAGGGAACAAACGAGTCAGAACGTTCAAGAAGTTTTACCTGTTGTCCGTACTTGCCGGCCGTCTGATCCAGTTGGACACTTCGGCACGACGTGGTTCGGAAGTCGGCATAACAAGCTTCGGCCATGAAGTGTCATAATACTTCGGGCAAGGCACCACGGCCCGGATCTTCGACAGCAAAGCAGTCCTGCCGTGCTGGTGCCGAAGAAGGGTAGCAGTTTAAGCTGGCCGCAAGCAAAGTTGAGGATCCAGAATACGCTCCAGGCTCTTCCTCTCTCTTACTTCGGGTATGGCTAGGCTCCCCTTGGTAACGAGGCCCTCTGGAACCCAAGATGCTAGCACCGATAACTCTTCGTGAGGCCTAAAGCTTCCGATGACAGTGAACTCCACGCTTTTTGGGTAGCCAATCCTGCGTTCTCACTCATCCCGAAACCCAGCGCCAAGAGGCTCCAGAAACCGGGCCGAACTCGGAAAGAACTCTGTCGGTTTAGCGGCCTCAACCCCCCTCAAACACGAAGGTTGAGGTCTCCTTTTCCCCAGCGGCTAGGGTTGGCTCCGTGGCTGACACGGTGCTGTGGGAGCTCAAAGGCCAGACGGCCTGAAGCTCCGGATTGGCTTGGCCCTGGAGGGACGAGTCGGACGAGTTCAGGATGTAACTAATAACGTCGGAGCTTTAGCCCTGATATACGTGCTTCGGCCCCTACATGTTGCTTCTAACTGAGCAAGGCTTGGCGAGGCAGATGCTGATAGGTTCAGGAGGCATCGCAGAAGACTCTGTCTCGGGGTTCCTGGATACAGCATTGTGTATCCCAAACACACAACCCACATACGACCAACCATCCAGCAAGGCAACACCTGCACCCGAATGCGAACGCCAAAGGGTTGGAAAACCACTACATGTCCGACGCCTGCTCTTCGAGCATGGCAAAGCAAATCACTGTTGAACTAACGTCCAAAATAGGAAACCTGAGAGCGCTTTTACTGCAAACCGCCTGCTGATGGTCTTTGCCCAGTAGCACAAGGAGTGGCGCCGTTTGCAAAGCCAAGGCGCCTCAGCAGCCGCGAAGGATGGAAAGTTGCTCCGAATGGGGGCTCCATGCACACGACCCTACTAGACGAACATATCTCCGGAATAAACTAGAAGCCCGTGCTGTGAGGGGCAGTGCCATTATGGTTCCTTCATCATGTGCTTATGAAAGGTAGCCATCTCCGGGAGTGGACAACCATTGTGGCTGCTTGCCGGAGCCCACATGTGTGATCCAAAACGAGGAGGCCCAACAACCTCTGTCATTTGTGGCGGCTCGGGGGGCCAGCCGGGCAAAACTCTCGACTATAAGCATAGATTATACATAACCTAGACACTATAATTGTTCATATAGTCTCGACAACATATAGTATATGATAGGTATATGCGATTATATGTTACACAGAATATAAGTCAAAACCCAAGCTTTGCTGATCGCTGCTGGGCTGCAGCGAGCCGTCCTTCAGCGTCACCTCATGCTCAATCCAGTTGAAGATCTTGCTCGTCTCATTCGCCGCCGCTGTGACCTCGAGCGGCTTGAGGCTTAGGAGTTTAGGGCCGGGTCCGTCAGGCACACTCCTCTTTGTATCCTTAGTGCAAGAAAGCAATGTTTAAACCTCATGCATCTGCAGAGTTCTGTAACCAAACTCCATGATGAACGTAGAAGCGAACGCCCGCGAACAAATTAACAGCACAGAACACACAGGTCTATATGCACACATGCACATAACTGTTCGCATGCATGCAATCGTCACGGGTTTTCCTGTGCTGATGACCCTCTCATGCCAGGCCACGCGCAAGCCCAGGGTTTCGGCGCAGGTTGGAAGCGTCATCTTCCCAGGATTCCCAGGGGTTGCATCGCAGGCCTGGAGGATCTTAGGTTCGGTTCTGAACATCCGGGTTGGAGGATAGATAATGAGTATAGTCAGTGGACTTCACATGCTGTCACTCTCAGTCTTGCGGCTCTGCTGCAGCAGCTGGTGGTATTGTGGTGCTGGTGAGGATGCCAGTGTTTAGCGGTGTTGTCGTCATGATCGTCCTCATCGTCTTCACCAAAGCTGCGGCTTAGACTTCCGCAGTTCGTTCATCCATGAAATTCCATCGCCACCAGGTGGCCCTCGCGATATGCCTCATCAACTCAGCCTTGTAAGCCCATGCCGCATTCCCGACAAAGAACCCGTCTAACACTTTAAAGTCATCATCCTGCGCCCCAGCCCCAATTTCCCAAAAGTAAAAGCCCTTGAAAAGTGTCAGCCTGACAGAACCGGCCTTCACTTTGCCTACGCCGACGCGAACTTCGGCCTGCGCAAGCAGGGAATTCAGATGTTTGGTGGTTCGTCGTTTCGGGTTTAGGGTTGATTGCGGAGGTTGTACGATTACGGCACTTCGGGCGTAGGGTTTCGCATCCAGGATGCAAAAGGCTTAGGGCCTTAGGGCCTTTGAGTTGACGATGCAAGGCGAAAGATGGAGCGGGCTTGACTTCGACGGGCTGGGAAGGAAAGCTTCTTGAGAAGCAAGGTTCGAAGGCTTGGCGGTTTGGGGCGCACGCCCTACCGAGCCACGGAGGAGCTTCACTTCTTGACCACGACGGGCTCGGCTTCATTATGAGGGCTTGCGGTTTCCTCAAGTAGATAGTATCGTATCCTCAGAATAAGAAAACCCAACACTATTGGTAGTTATTCAGGTCCCTACACTACCAAGGTTACCTTCAAGTTTCGGTAAACTCCCACGTATCTTGCAGGACCACCCCAGGTGAGGTGTTCTTGTCGTGTCACGCCCACGTTTTGTCTATCCATTGTGTTCCTACAAGTAACATCAAGCAACCCCATTTGCATCCTAATTCAGGGTCTTCTCAAGGTCGTCCCCGGCCTCTGCGCGAAGCACCGCCACCTTCCCAGGTGCCAAGCCCCCAACAGGTGCTGTAGCGTCACCTTGTGTCCAGCTTGGGTGCCCCACAAAGTGTCAGGAGACACACACACACACACACGCGCTTGCATGCAAGCTGCACGTACATAAGGCAATCATACACCAACAAAGACATATACCTGTATATGTAGGTATTTACATACATACATACATACGTAGGTACATACATACATACATATGTTCACATTTATATCTGCAGTTATACAGGCATATACATATATGTGTGTATGAATACTCGCTAAGGCAGATGCTTTGGATTCCAGTTTTCAGCCAGCTGTCTTTCAATCTTTTAATCTCCGTTTCTGTTGTGTGCTACGTGTCCCATGATGGGACGTGGTTTCATGTGTCAGCACTGACCGTGTTGTGGCATGTAGGGAACTCTGATTGGATTACGGTGGTACTTCTTCGGCACAGGTCGGCCGGCACTGGTTTTGCCCGCTGCTGGCCGGTCCAGCACTTGCCGGCAAGGGCCCGAAATCCCGAAGAGACATGCTCATGGACCTACGTAGTAATTAACATAGTCAGCCTGCACTTGGAAATGAACCCGGAAGTTCTCAAGCCTGAAGCCTAGCCCTGCACGAAGAAGACGACCTGGGGGCCTCGAGTGCGGTTTGGGAGAAGAGTGCAACTATTCTGGGCAGTCTTACAAATTAGGGTCCCTCTTCTAAGAGTGCCATACCATATTGGGGACCTCAAATCGGACCCTAACTTTATTGTTTAGAGAACTACCTATATGGCATGCCGCTGCATGCCAAGAAACTTTCGCGCACCACCAGCGGCAGGCCTGTGCAGTAGTCTGGTGGCTTTTAATCACCGACTGCTGTTTCTGATTTTGGCAAGCACGAGAACAAAATCCTTTCGGAGTTTCAGACCCGAAGGGATTCCTGTGACAGGACTGTGCATTTCAGAATCCTTGGTAAAGACCACAAAAAAAGAGCAGGGACCTCGAGCGGGTAGATTCACTTGAGGTATCTGCTTCAACTGAGTTTAGGGTTCGGGGTAGAGTTTACCATAGCATGGATTCGCAAAAGGTACATTAGTATAGATCTACACCCAGATGATCAGAGTAGCTGCCCCAAGCCCTAAACCCGAACCCAAAACCGCAGCTGCTGCAGGCCGGGCCTGTCTTGTTGAAGAGAATGCACCTGGCAGCTGTCGAATTCTTGGCCCTATGTCGGCACGCACTTTCAAGCAATCCTCCAGCAAACGAGCCTCAAGACTCAACTCGCAACCCTGACAAAAGAGACCCTGAAATCATAACGCACTGCAAATCTTCAGCACCCTCCAGAACTGAAGAATGGTGTTCTGGACGCAGAGGTTTAAGGGCTCAGGCTGCTTCGACTTGGGGTTTCAAGTTCAAGATAGTCGTCTTAGCAAGACCGAGGTGAGGTCTCGACTGCCTGAAACAAATTCAAAGGGTAAAAGAACTCATGGGAAGGCCAGAAGAAGCTCAACGCCAAAGCTTGAATTGCATGCCCGACCAGCGTTCTCCCCACGTACCCTCAATTCTGTAGGTGAGATCCCCAACCCCTCACAGCCGCTACCTGAAGCCCTCGAATGGCACAGCGCGGCGGATATGTTTACAGTAACTGTCAGAGTGTAACAGAACAACTACTTGGGGACTCGAAGCTGACACTATATTTCTGATCGTTTCTGAGCTCCATATCATATTACGGAAGGACTAGGAGCGACCAAGGCGCTTGCCCACCACAACAAACTCAGGGCCGCCACCCGCGGGCCAGCGGGAATGCAGGGAGCAAGCCTCCGTACGCTTTCTCATTTTCTCGACTACCACACGCTATCAGAAGTTGTATGGAGCTTCCTGCCTGGCCTAAGAAGCGACTCCGCATGAAAAGGAGTCGCTGACTTATACGACATTCCCTGCCCCGACCCCCCGCCCTCCCCTTCCCCAACACCGGGAATCCCTACGTCCTAAAGACTCCCTCCCTCACGTGCCGTCCAAGGGCCATGTTGGAGCTAAGGTCCAGATGCTCCTGCCTGAGCTCCTCCGTGGGCTTGCGGCTTTGTTCATGTCGTCACTGTGCACAGTGAATCTTAGTACCAACATCACATAACATCACAATGCATCACATCCAAGAATAGGTTGAGTCTTCATGCTTCTCAGCTGCTGCTGATACAGTTATGGGATTGAGGGTCTAGGAGTTAAGGGATGCGCGGCTGAATGGCTTAAGTTACAGGGTTGGGACTTTATTCGCTGCAAGCATTGAGGAATGGCAGGTTTCGGGACTTTTGACTCGCGCAACTCGGACAATGGAGGCGAGGATGGTGCGGTGCCAGAAACACAGCCTATGCTTTGCTTCCAGCCACCAAACACGCAATGACACAGAGCTACATGCGGAACAACTGCACAGCTTACACCCAAAAATAACCACCTGGTGGAGGCTGTCGTTAAAATGAAACTCGGCGCCCTCACTTGCACAAATCCTTCAGCTCGCCCGGCGGAGGGCAAGGCTTGAACTTCTCGCCAGCACCGAAGGTGAACTTGCATGCGGCCTTGCCAGCAACTCGGCCAAACACGACGCAGTCCAGCAAAGAGTTGCCACCCAGGCGGTTGTTGCCGTGGATGCCACCAGCCGCCTCGCCAGCAACATAAAGTCCAGGAATGACCTTGCCCGACTTCTTGTCAATGCACTCGGCGTCCACGGTGCACTCGAGCCCACCCATGCAGTAGTGGATTACAGGAGTGATGATCGCCACATAGAAGGGTTCGGTAGGCACCTTCGAGCCATCGATGATGTTGTGGAAGAACTTCTTGCCGCTGCCCGTCTTCCCGCTGGGCTCGTCCCAAGTCTTGCCGGATGGGTAGGCCGGGAAGGGGCCGCCATCGGGGTCCTCCGGCGCAGGGTTATAGATGTGGTGCTCTGTTGAACTGTAAGCTTACAAAGCCCAAATTAACCCAACAAGGAAAGAAGCACACCAGAAAGGAATCGAGACGACGAAGACGGCGACAACGAGACTACTGCGAGCCGCGCTCCTTCTCCTGCTTCTTGGCAGCTTCGAAGTGCTTCTGGTGCGCATCGACGAGCTTCTGCAAGGGGACGCCCATGTCCTTGGCCAGGTCCTCACCTGTCGAGTAGAACTTCATGACGCCACGGCCGGTGTAGTGCTTAGCATGCCAGATGATCTCGTCAGCTGCAGCCCTGTTCAGGCAGAGGCGGAAGGGCGGCTTGTTCTTCCACATCTCACCCGTCACGTAGTCGCGGCGGCCCAACTCATTGCAGAAGCGGTCGCCATTCGCATCCAAAACGATGCCGCCCACGCCACGCAGGGCCTCTGCCGCCAGGAACTTGACTTTGGCATCGGGGTCATCCGGCTTCACGAGACCAGTCGGGTGCACCTGAACCCACTCCAAGTCGATAGTTGCAGCGCCGATGGCCTCGCCCATCTTGATGGCATCACCGGTGCAGTGCTCGCCATTGGTGGTCGGAAGATGAAGGAGATCCGGCCGGTAGGTGGCCAGCAGCGAATCCGCGCCGAAGTCCGCGCCGAAGCCGCCGGATGCGAGGACCATGGGCCCGAATTCTTTCACCACCTTGCCGGCCTTCTTGTACTCACAACCTACGACGGCCGAGCCATTCTGGAGCAGCTTGAAGACCTCAGCCTTTGTGATAATGCGGGCGCGGTTGGTCTTCTCTGCCACCTTCTCCAGCATTTGGATCAGTGCATAGGTGATGGTCATACCAGGGAATCGCTCCTTCCCGCGGTGCGTCCTGGGCTGAGAGTGGCCGCCGAGTCGGGCGACCAGCGACAAATCCAAGTCAAACTTGTCCACGAGCCAATCCACATCTGCAGCGCTGTTGGCACACAAGACCTTGGCGAGCTCCGGCTTCTTGGCGCCACCCTTCAGGGTGTCCGCGATGAAGATTTCCTTACTTCCCACGTATCCAAGGCATAAACGTTCAAACTTTCAGGATAAGACTGAGACTACCTTAAATACAACCCCCAAAATTGAGAAGTTGAGTTTTGCACCGCCAAGTTTCGGCGTTGTCCGGGATTGACTTGCCCTTCTGCGTCTTCGTGCCAGCACCATTGATGCCGCTAGTGGCCTTCGTGCTGTTGCCGCCGCAGAAGGAGGACTTGTCCAGCAGCAGACTGCGTCCACCCAACTCGATCACTGTGTTCGCGGCGGACATGCCAGCAAGGCCTCCACCGACCACGATCACCTGGTTCGCGGGGAAGACGCACGCCATGGCTTTGACAAGTTCAAAATATAGGCGACGTCCTGCCTTTCGACGTCCTTCTGCGAGGCTACCCAAATGGCTATGAATGGATCCTGGTCCCGGGGGGGGGGGCACTGTGACAGACCCAACTTCAAAGACAGCACACGACCTCCGAGAGGTGCGGTCGTGCCAGCTTCAACTAATGAACTGACGATCTCCAAAATCATAAATGTCCAGTTTCCTTGGGCAACTATGCAACAAAGCCAAGAAGGGCATGTCATGCCAATTCAGCCAGGCTGCCAATGCTTGAGATGAGGTATCCAAGTGCGGTGGACATGAACCTTTCGGATTGCGACAGAGCTTCTGATTTTCGAACCCAATCAAAGCCCACACATCATATACCTTTCCGATTGGGTATTGGGGCAGCTATGCGTTCCCCCTTTGAAAGTTGGCCCCGACAGAACATGCTTCCGGGTTTCGTGGAACAGCTGCCGGTTCAGTTCTACACCGCGCTGCATGCTTTGGCCGGCCAGGCGTCGGGCCTTCAGCACTGCACTGGAACGCTAATGTAGGGGCCTTCATAATCAGAATAGGGTTTTGGGGTCGATTGTGCCATAATTCTGATAAGGAGCCCCCAAAAAGTATTGTTCCTACATTACTTGGGACTGAGCGAGGCCTTCCACGTGGCCAACATGATGCAACCAAAAAACATGTAGACGTTTGCAATGTCGGTCTCCAGTCGGGCAGCCACGCCTGCACAGGAGGTTGCCTAAACTCGAAACCCCAAACACCGAACTCTAAATCCCAAACCCCACACCTTACACCCCGCACCCTGAACCATCAGACCCCAAACCCTATCCCGAAAAGATTTTTGGACTTTTTACTCTGAGGTTGTACAAGCTTCAAGGATGCATGGCCTTTGCCGCTCATGTGTTCTCTGCAGCTTAGGGTTAAGGTTTTGTGTGCGTTTGTGTTGTATAGCTTTCTTTCCGGCTTTTGGTTACGACTTAACCCTAGACCCTAAACCCAAAGCCCTAAGCCCTAGGCGAACGCCCAAGCCCTAAGCCCTAAGCCCCAGACTCTAAGCCCCAAGCTCTACTCATCTAAACTCGCATGGGCTTCGCTGAAAACCTCGGCCCTTCTATCGGCCTAGGCCTCGAAAGGGGCATCGCGAAAGACAAATCTCAGGGGATCAGAGCCCAAAGGGTCCCAAGTACCTACATAGTACGGGTTAAGGGTTTGGAGTTTAAGATATAGTAGAAGTAGGGTTTCTATAGTGTATATTGGGTTTAGAGTTTAGGGTTTTCAGGGTTTAGGACGTAGGGTTTCTATATTGGGAAACGATAGTATGATTTGGTCTCAGGGGAACAGTTTTCCCAATCTTGAAACTTTCGTGCCGCCAAGCCTTCAACGCAATGCTTAAGGAAGTGAGCCAGGTTGAAGGTTTAGTGTTTAGGGTACCTAGCATTGCCTTATAACTATGGCGGGCACTTCAAGAGTTCCTCAACCATTTGACCACCCAACTTTTCCTACTGAGCAGAAACCCTTGCCTTCTCCGTCTGCCCTAAAGGCCACCAACCCCGAAGCCTTGTGTCAAGTGTCAATAATTCCAAACCCCTAAATACTAAACCCTATATATACCCTAGAACCCGACAAAAAAAAGGTAGACGCTGAATTCTAAGCCTCGCAACCTAGGCCCCATGACAGGTCCCTTTAAGGCTTCCCTCAAAGGTTGCCTTGCTTGCTTGTTTTTTTCCCAAGGCTTCCGCGAGAAAGCCGGGGCCTGCGGGCTCATGCTCGTCGTACCAGCTCACATCCAAGCAGAACAGGACCTTCATCGTTCTTGGGTCTTCATGCTTGGGGTTTAGGCTTGACGGGATCTTTGATTTGTCTTGATGTTTGTGTTGAAATGGTTTGCTTGGTTTCTCTTTTATTCTCCCCCCCACCTCTTCTCCCCACACCTTAAACCGTCGAGCAGGGTTTTGTCAGCCGCCAGTCGGGACTGGGGCAGATAGGAGGAGCAATGGGCGCTCGACTAGAAAGAGAGAGAGAGAGAGAGAGAGAGAGAGAAAGAGAGAGAGAGCGAGCGAGAGAGAGAGAGAGAGAGAGAGAGGGTAAGGGCGAGGGCGAGAGTTGGAGACAGTGAGCGAGAGTGCAAGCGAGAGAGAGAACTGAGAGCCTGACGGAACGGGAGACAGACATCGTCGTGATGATCACTCACTGAAGAAGACCTCTAAAACACGATACTTTCTGGAACCTCAAACCTCACACACCCTAAACCCTAGGCCCCTATAAACCCTGGTGCACTGCGCCGCGAGTGGCCTCGAGAAAGCTTCGATGCCATCGAAGGGCCTGGTGACCCAGGGCTTGTCAGGGTTTGTAAGGGGTGTATAAAGGGGTTCATAAGAGTTTATCTAAAGCTCTCGGGTGTAGAGGGGTTAAAGGCTTATCCGGCTTCAGGTGGGTTGAGTATTCATAGGCCAGGTCATTAAGTAGAAAAGATAGCAGAATGTTGGCTTATAGAGATTTTTGCTTGCAGCTCTCGACCCTCAAAACCGAAAGCCGTGACTGAACCCCCGCAGCCCAAAGCTCCACATCTGCGCACTGATGGACGGTAAGATCGCATAGCTGCATAGCTGACTTCGGCGAGTATAGCTGTAGCCCGACATTCTACAATTCTAGGACCTATAACCCTTACAGCGACATGATTTTGGATCCACAGATCCACGGTAGCGATTGCGGAGCTTCAGGGTATGGCCCGACGCAGCGTCTGTGTTTCCATCATTCTGCCCGAGGAAATGAACATCGGCCCTGAAAAACACCTACATCTCCAGCCCCTCTAACGAACCCCCTAAACCAACCCCTAAACCCTAAACCCCTAAACCCCGAAAACCCTAAACCCTAAACCCTCAATAAAACGCCTTCCCCCGAAGGAGCGGTGGCCTGCTTTGCAGCAGCCCAGGCAAGGCAGGTCTGCCAGCCAAAAGCGAAAAGGAACTGCACGGCAGCTAGGACACCTCCGACTCTCTCCGATGTATGTGGCTTTGTTTACAGAGTTCTGAAGGGATGTTTGAAGGGTGCAATCTGGGTTTTATCGAGAAGCAGCTGATGAAAGTTAGGTCAATTTCAGGTTCTAGGTAGAGCTTTATAGCTGTATACACTCCACCAAAGGGTTTCGGAGATTTCAGATTCTAGGTTGAATGCTCATAGTCAAACTATAATTCTGAGATCCATGTGGCTTTTGGTATTAATCGCCTTTCGCCCGGCTTGTAAACCCCCAGCGGCGTCTACCGCACACTATAGTGAACCGAACTAATAGAGCCAGCGATACGATTTGCGAGAAGATAGGGCTAAGGTATGCTAAGGTAGCTTCAGGAATCACATGGTTTGGGGTTTACAGCTCAAATCTTGAGGAGTCATAAGACCTGGGGAGTTAGGTTAGCGACCCAACTGTGGGCTTAAGGATTAGGGTCCAGCGAGTTCAGTTCAGGACTTGCTGCAAGAGGGCGTTGAGGGCTTGTGACGCGTTTGTTGGGCTGCAGAAGCTCTTCTGGGAGTTTGAACTAAAGATGAGCATCGTTGTGTACTCTTGCCTCCCTCCTAGCTGACTGTGCTACTGACAGCAAGGGGAACTGGTGAGTATGGAAAGGGAACAGGTGCCTGAGATTCCGGAAGTAAGAAAGCAAACCCCAAAAAGCACGGCTTATAGGCTTATAGGGTTTAGGGTTTAAGGGTATCTGTAGTGCATCGAGGGGCGTGGCCGACTAGACGGAATAAACCCTCAAGATTACTCAAACATGCTGTAGCTCTTCAGACGACTATCATAAACCCTCAGAGCCGTCTAAACCCTAAACCCCGAAGATTCCTAAACCCTTGTATGACTGGTTCTAATTCAGTCTGCAAAAAACTGCGAGACCAAGAATGCTATTGAAATGAGTGCCGGCCTGACCCCGAAAAGGAATTGGTTTGGCTGCGATGGACAGACTGAAAAGCGTGCGATCAGGAGTTTTTTCAGGCACTTGGCACGGCGGTGTTGCATGATGCTTTCGTGCGCGGACTGTTCCGCGGCAAACCCTAAACTCGATTTTAGGGGATGTTGCTATGGAGGGCTTTTCAGAGTCGAGTTTGCGGGGCATTGGGGCTGCTTCAGGGTTTTCGGGTTTTAGCTTCTGGGCAAAGTCAGAGACTTGAGACCCAGGCTCAAAGTGCATCAAGCTGTTGATAGTTCAGGCATGCTTCGCGGTAGCTTTTTGGGAGTCGGGATTGAAGACTTCAAGGCAAGGCACCAATCTTGATGAGGACCGGGGCCATGTCGTCCAGCATGTGTGCCTCCGGAAAACCCTTTCTGTCCCAGGTCTAAGCCCCGGGTTGCGGATTTTTACAGAAAGGCCTTATAAGGCCTTATAAGGTTCAGGAATTGAAGCTTACCTGGACACCAAAAGCAGGTAGAAGAATAGCCTTTTATGGGTTTTGGGCCATTATTTTACCTGCTTCTTGGGGGTTGAGGTAGGGTCTACCTGTGGCCGAAAAGACCTACCTCTTAAGGAACTATATATAGAAACCATAGTAATTGGACCCTAAAGCGGAAGGTTTTTTCGGCTACAGGTAAAACCGGTGGCTCGGGAGGACCATGTCTGAGATTGCAGCAAGTGCGCCTCGTCCCCATCTTTCACTCCTGTCAGCGTGGTGATGCTGTCCTTGTAGGAGCGAGTTGGGAGCTTCCGGCGAGAGGCGTGCTGATTTGTTATTGTTAGTATTATTATTGTTATTCGTAGTAGTAGAATTAGTATAACCATCATCTTTATGATTAGTGTGATCATTATCAGGATGAATATTGTTAATGTTACTGTTATTGCTGTTGCTACCATTACTACTTTGAAAATATTGTTACTGTTCTTGCTAATCACTCACACACACACACACGGGCTCGATACAACTGGCAGCTTCAAGCCTTACAAGATGAATGTGACGCCCCCATCGCTGAACGGTTTCGGGTTCACGCTTAAATTAAGCTTATTTGGGGCGTAGGC